GAGCCCTACAGAGGGTTCCTCAGAGGACCCTTGGGTGACCCCTCTGCTCACAACCACTCTATTGTTCTCTGTCTTCTACATGGAAGTACCTCATCAGATTCCATCTGAACAAGGGCCATGGCTTAACAGGACACCTGGACAGCAACTGAGCTACAGAAACAACCCACAAGACATCCTCGGCCGGTCCATTTAACTGATGGCTGCTGGCCTTGCTGGAGACTACGGCCCAAAGAGGTGTCTGCTCAGCCTATAGAGTGACAGGCAGCATGATGATACATCGGCTTCTAGGAGTACATTTTAAAACAAAAACAAATAATGCTCCCACTTCAACCAGCTGGGCTAAGTGCCTCAAACTCATAAAGACAGTAGCCATGCTCTTGGGGCCCATCCTGTAATGTGACTTCATCAGTCAGCTGAGGCGCAGACACGAATCTACTGTCTGTGAAGAAGCTGCCACTCCAAGGGTCTTGGTTCAGGCCACCTGGGGAGCCCAGGAACACCTGGCCCCAGGTGCCTGGCCGACACTGGTCTGTGCTTCATAGAGACAGGGTTGGGCTCGTTCTCAGCTCTGCCTGAAGGTGCTGGCCTGGCAGCCCCCTGCACGGCACACAGGCGTGAGGGGAGTGCCACTCACAGTGAGGAATGGGTGTCTGGTATTCTGGAGGACTCGGCTCTCGGTGACGGTGTGGGCGACTTCATCCTGTAGACAGAGGCTGGGTGAGGAGCTGGTGGGCAACGCCATGCCTGCCCACCGCCCCGCAACCTGAGGGGTGAGGGGCGATGTCCCAGTGAAGAGCCGTCCCACTCCTCGCCGATGTGCAGAGGGCAAACGGCAGGCGCGGCACGCTACCCTCCACGACCCCTAACGAAGTAACGGACCCAAGCGAAGACACTGCGTGCTCACTCTCAAAACCACAAGGTGAGCCGGTGATGGGGACTTTATGATGAAGGAATCAGGCTGTCACCTCCCAAACCCACCGGCCAATTTTAACATCCCTAAAGGGGGACAAGCGGACATCACAAGAGCCCTGAGGTGATGCCACAGGCCCTGGGAGTCGCCACCCAGCAATGCTCTTGCTGGAAGAGGGACCTGGACCTAGCATCGGGGCTCTAGGCTGTGGGGCAGTGGCTCTGAGTGTGTGGGCCCCATGCTGGCAGCAATGGCCACACCTGAGAACTTGGGAGAAATGCGAGTTCTCGGGCCCTTTCCTGGACCCACTGGAAACTTGAGGGTGGGCCCAGCAGCAGCGTCACAGGCCCCCCCGACACAAACAGGGGCTCAGCTCTGGTGTCAGGCACAGCAATCACCCGGAGAGCACCAAACAATCTGGAACTACCTGCAGACCCGGACACTGGCTTTCCTCCAGGTCCAGTCTGTCCCCAGGAGACATTTGGTAATAATGGCATTTTTGATTGTCACAACTCAGGGGAAGGGGAAGGGTGCTACTGGCTTTAGCGGGTTGAGGCCAAGGACACTGCTACACATCCTACAGTGCACAGGACAGACCATGGCACAGAACAGTGTGGCCCAAACTGTCAACAGCACTGAGGCTGAGAAACCCTGCACTGGACCAGTGACATCGGGGTTGTTCACTTTGTTGGATATGATCACAGTGCCACGATTACAGTCTTTAAAATCTTCGCTTGTTAAAGATCGTGTCTGAGTATGTGTGCGTAGCTTATATGCTATCTAAAACACGCCTGACAGTATTCCAGAACAAAAAGGCGGAAGGCAGAGCTGATGAAACAGGCCAAATGTTAATGGGTGAAGCTGGGTGATGGCTACATGGGAGTCCCTTATATTTATTTTTCTTTGAAAAATTTTATGTATGTTAGGAATTTTCCATTTTAAAACTTTAAGAGAAAAAGAGAATAGAATTCCATTCCTGGCCCAGCCTCCTACTGAGACACCCTGCCCCAAGCCCCGACCCTGGAGCCACCTTTCAGGCTCTGACTCGGGGAGGCCCCAGTCGGACTCTCTCGGCCGCCCTCCCTGGGCACCTGGAGGGAGGGGTGGGGTGCAGCAGGCAGGCCGGCTCTCTCCGGGCCTTGGGCGCGCCTTCTCTGACCGGTGCCTTACAGGACTGAGCCCAGGGGATGGGTTTGGTGTGGAAACGAGATGTTGGCAGCAGAAGACACGGGTAAGTGTCCTGGCCCTGTGCGCAGCGCCCGCCCCCAGTGGCGACCAGGCGGCCCGGGAGCCCCCACCTTGGCGATGATGACCTCCTTCCGCAGGATCTTCATGGCGTAGTAGCGGCCGCTGGCCTTCTCTCGCACCAGAATGACTTTGCCAAAGGTGCCCTTGCCAAGGAGCTTGAGATAGTCGAAGTCATTCATGGTCTGCCAGGGACAGAGAGAAAGTAGGGCCGGCAGCACTTGGCATGTAGCCCGTGGGAGAAAATTTTCACAAAGAAAAAGGAAAATCAAAGGACTCTGCTGCCAGAACGCTCGGGCAGGGCAGGAAGGCAGGCTCCGGGCGGCTCCCCACCAAGCGGCCCTCCCAGGCACGGGCCCTGGGAGGGCGCCGATGCGGGGCTGGCAAGGTCTTGGCAACCTTTGGGGGTGAGGCTGTCCCTCACGCCGTGGACACAGGGCAGCCCTGGGGCATCTGCACCCTGGCGTCGCCCATCCTACGGGGCGGTCATGGGCCGGGCTGGGCCCCTGCGCACTCTGTGGAGACCAAGGCCCGGAGCGGGGAAGGGTGCTCACAAACTAGCAACCTCTACCCCCTGGCCACTTGTCACCCCAAGCACTTACCACTTTGGCCCGTGCCTTGCTAACTGCCACTTCCATCTCCTCGGCCGCTGAAGAGTCACTAGGGGAGCCACACTTGTAGTCCATGGGGTCCTCACCCGGGCCCCGCTGCTTGAGGCTGTTGGCCACCATCTGGATGGCCTGCATCCATTCCTCCCTGTGTGAGACACAGCAGGGGAGCCATGAGTCCCGGGCAGCCTGGGCCTCGGGGCAGGAAGGGCTCAGCCCCACCCCTCCAATGGACAAGCAAATGACCAAACACCTTTGGGCATTTTGGCACGATCTGTCTCAGTTGGGGAGAGCTGATGGGACCAGACTGAAACTTTACAGACTCTCTGAGTGAGAGAGGGCAAGAGTGGAATAAGGACAGGGACCATCTATGTCCCAGAAGTGGCCCGGCCTGAGGGCCACTTGAAGTCAGACAGCAATTAAATGGTCAGAGAGGGGTGACCACCTTTGTTCTCAGCCCCTCGAAAATGAGCCCCCACCCTGAGCCTTGCGTGAGAAAGAGACAGTGCTCTGAATTCCTCCAGCTCAAGCTCCCAATGTTTCGGAAAAGAAAACCAAGAGTAAAAGGAAGCATTCGTTAGCCAGAGAAGCGGAAAATCTTACAAGGCAAGAGTTGCCGACATGGCTCTGAGGTCAGGACCAGGGGTTCTCGTAGGACAGGGCCAGCGAAGGAAAGGTGGCGGACAGGGACACAGGTCCCAGGAGAAGGGAGCCTGCTTTAAGAACAATACGCTAGTTCTGTCACAGCCATGATTTAGAACTCATGGGGAAGAGGCTGCTTCCGATACTTATAAGCTGTTCTGTTTGGAGAGAGACAGAAGTAAGTAAAAGTGACCAGAGACCAAAAATACATATAGATGTAGAAGGCTGAATGACATTAAATTGTCCATACCTCCCATTTCTGACCCACCACACAATTTTTTAAGTGGTTCAACCCAACATCTGTTGAACCCTCTAGAGATTTTGCTTATGTCTATAAAATAGCCACACAAACAGTGGGAAAAATAAAACATTCTCTAGGAGTGAGAAAATTCAGAGCACAGCAGGCCACCTCCCAAATCACAGCGATTTAAAGAAGCTCCAGGGAGCGCTGCATCTTCCAGAATCGCCACGGGCCCCGGGCAGCAGGTGCTACAACTCTGCACTCCTGAGGCACTGGGATCACGCAGGGAGCAAGTGGCCAGGCCAAAGCTGAGGCTGGACCGCCCTCGAGTCTCCACTTCTGCATGTACCAAAGAGCACTAGCACTGGCTGCCAACTCCCCCGCCCCCACAGTTGACAATCTGCATATAACTTAGACTCTCCCAAAATTTAACTACTAATTGCCTAATGATCGGAAGCTTTACCGATAACGTAAACTGCTGATTAATACATACTTTGTATGCTATACGTATCATAGACTACTGTATTCTTATAATAAAGTAAACCAAAGAAAAGAAAATGTTTTTAAGAAAATCCTAAGGAAGGGAAAATACATTTACAGTATTGAGAAAAATCCAGGTGTAAGTGGACTCGTGCAGTTCAAACCCGTGTTGTTCAAGGGTCAACCGTGCTTCTGTGATCCATCGGCCCCATGATGCATGGGATACTGCTTTTTCTTGGTGTTATGTAAGACTGTGGTGTGTCTTCAGGTGACGGCATCCTAGACCGACAGCAACAGTACTGAGCTCAAAGGGCAGTCTGGGGTGGAGAGGAGACATTATGCTGCCGAGAGAAAGAATGAGGCAGCTATGTGTGGACACAGAATGATCTGAGGTGTACGAAGTGAGAAAGGGCAGGTACAGAACAGCACAGTCGTCATGCCGCCGAAGTCAGGAACAAAGGGAATCTACGCGCACGCGCACGCGCTCACGTAAGCATGAGCGCCTCTGGAAGGATGCTCCTGACACAGGGGAACTGGACTGAGGGGCGAAGGGCAGTCTCATTCCACCATCCTCTGGTAACAAACACGCACAGGGCACTCACCCCTCCCCTGCATTAAAGATGGGGAAACTGAGGCACGGGTTAAAACATAAAATTCCCCTGAACAAGCCCGATCCTATCTGATCTCGGAAGCTAAGCAGGGTCGGGCCTGGTTAGTACTTGGATGGGAGACCACCTAGGAAGATCAGGTGCTGTAGGCATAAAAAATAAGGGATTGCAAGCTGACAAAGTCCTTGCAATCTGTGAGGTCAACCAAAGATTGCCTCACCTAAAATTAATTAATCAATTAATTAATTAATTTAAAAAAAAAAATTCAAGGAAACATGGTGGTTACTCCAAGCCTGGTATCTGGAACCACAGGGCCTTGGATATTCTGGGCCTGGGGGCAGGGCCATCCTTGCTTAGCTCCAAGGTTTGCTGAGCCAGGCAGCAACCAAGCTCCAAGGCCCCAGTTCACACACACAAGCCCCACCTCTCAAAGTGGCCTCACGTGCACAAGAGCGTGCTTCCTCAGACAGACGCGTGAACACTGCAAGCACAAACATCAAGTGCTGGCACAATGGCCCTCCCCAGGCCAAGCAGAGTCTGGGGGACCCGTAACCCATGTACGTCAGGCCCACGAGGACAGGGATTTTGTCTGTTCATACACAGTGGGCCCAGCACACGCGGAGGTACTTGAGAGGTATCTGGGGGAGGGGGAGGCAGCTGAAGTCCACATGGCCCCAGGCCTGGTACACTGAGGCCCAATGCACAACCAGGCAGAGTGGAACTGGCCTCTTCCCTCCCTGACCCAATGCCTCAGGCGGGCCATTTCTCAACTTGTTTTACCCTGTGCCTCTTTGGAACCAACTGCAACATAAATCCCTATGCCTACATTAATATTCCTGTTTTTCAAAAAATGTGGGTGGGGGCACATCCCATGATTTGCTTTACTAGATCGTAACTGTCCTCTTAGAAATATCAAAATGCTGACTGGGTGTGAGACCATGAATTTTCTTTTAAAAAATCACCAATCTCCTAAGAGACACACTGAATATGTTAAAAAAAAAAAAAAAAAGGAACTGTCACATGAAAAAATCAAGTTGCAGACCAAGATGCATAGTATGCTCTCGTCTTTGTTTACAAGGGAGAACATAGACAGTGCATCAACACTGGCCTGAATAAATGACGGTGCCCCACACCACAGGACCTGGAGTGGCCTCTCTGGGCCACAGGGCTGCTGAAAAGGAACACAGGCTCCAGTGCCACATTGGCTGGGGCCCAAGTGGCAACTCCACCACCTTGGCAAGCTCGCCCCTCCCAGTCCACCCCACTCTTCAGTCGACTGGGGACACTAAGACACTGGAGAGCTGCTGTGTGCAAAGCACCACACGCAGAGAGAACGCTCAACTTTTAGAAGCTGGAAAAGACACAGAGCAGGGCCTGGGCTTACCCCGCCCACCCCGATTCAGGTGCCCAGCCCCGCAGGGGGCCACGGAGTCTGAGGGGATGCAGAAGTCTGGCTGAGGGTAAATGGGGCTCTCCCAACGCCTCACAAGCCCCCATCCTGTTCCAACTGGACTGAGGTTACAAGGTTGCAGCACTCAGAATTCAGAGAAAAAGCAAGGGCCTTGGTCCAGGATGCTCCTTGAGGGTTTGCAACATAGTGTGTGGGGCAGAGGGGAGCCCCTGCCCAGAGTGGACATTCCTTCTGCCCCCCAAGGGAGAGCCCCCAGGGAACCCAACCTCTTCCTCCAAAAAAACAGGAGAAAAACACCAGCTCCAGACACCATCTCACTCCATTTCCCTCAGGAGTGCAGGATGGGGAGCGGGTGTGCCTCTAATGTGGAAACTGAGGCACACGGAGGAGCACACAGCGGTCCCTGAGCATGAGGTCCAGGAGGATCAAGCAGGCGCTCTCCCAGGAAGGCACAGGGAGTGAGGACCAGCACGCCACGGAGCCGGGAGCAGAGCAAGGAAAAGCTGCCCTTTGAGAGTTCTGTCCAGGGCCCCCGTCCGAGAGGGACTCCCCTCGACAGACCACAACACAAATGCCTCCACTCACGAGGGTGCACTCTGTTTTTTAAACCCCTGCTCTTACCCGCGAAGGCATTTTAAAATTTCTAAGACAACAATTTACCTCACGTAAGATGGCCAGATGCTTCACGTGAGGTAACCCCTCAAGTTCTCTGACAACTCTGCAAAGTAGGTACTGTCAGCCACCTCCTCCTATAAACTGAGACAAGAGAGGCTGATGTCTGCCCAGTTACACAGCCAGCAGAGGCCTAGGGACCCAGGTGTCCCTACTGTCCCCAAAGCACTTCTCCCAGCAGGAGCCTTCCTATTCCTCACTTGGGCTCTGGCGCCAGGGAAGACACATTTGGGGGGTACCAGGCCCCCGCAAGCAGCACGAGGCCAAGTACAGCACAGGCTCAGGAGCTGGGAGGCAGGGCCTGGAGCTCAGCTCTGCTGCAAACTGGCCACGGGGGCCCTGAGCAGCTGCACTTCCCCAGCGTCTGCGCCCCAGTGCGCTGGGTAGCCGAGAGCACAGACTGGCCTGGCGTGAATCTTAACTCTGCCCCTGCTGGAGGCAACACTGGGGAGGTGGTTTAACGTTTCTGTGCCACAGCTGGCTGACACGTGGAGCAGGGACCACGGGGTGATGTCAGGGTGAAACGCAACACCAGACACAGAGCACTCGGGGCAGTGCCTGGCACAGGGCGAGTACCTCCAAGGGAGGCTGTGAGAATTCGCCCGGCCGCCCGGCCACCCAGCCAGCAGCGCGCCCCGCGTGCCTTCCAAGCAAGGCGTCGGCCCTGCCCTGCTCTGCGCATCGAGGCTGCAGCAGGAAAACAGCCCCATGGAGCACCCGGCCTGACAGAGAAGACGCAGAGTGCAGCGACTGGACAGAGAAGCCCCTGCCCAGAGGGTGGTGGGGAAGGACTCTCCAGGGAGTGGAGTGTAAGCCAGGACCTGAAAGATGTCCCTGGAACACAAACCACCCCAGTGCCGGAAACAGGCAGTGAGTTGAGATGGAGGGAAGGCGACAGCCATGAAGAGTGCCGGGAGGGAGAGGGACCGGGCAGCTGAACAGCACAGCGCAGGTCCAAACAGGAGGGAGCCTGGGGTGCCTGCAGAGGGCTCAGGGGTGCAACATGGCTGGATCCGGCAGAGAGGGGAACAGAGGAGATGAGCCGGGGGCGGGGGGGTGGTGAGGCCAGGCCCAGACCACATCCGATGCCACGTGCCACTATGTTAGGGATTTCCATCTTAACATCACGGGAAGTCACTCCCAGGGTTTGTGCAGGGGAGACAGGGTCCGATTTGATTGAAGTCAGCAGCTGCTGTGTGAGGTATGGACGGGGAAGCGAGAGGAAGCGTGAGGAGACTATGCGGTCCTAGGGCAGGAGGCGCTGGCGGCAGAGCAGATGAAGGGGAGGAAAGGTGCCAACAGGCAGGACGCACGGGGCGGCCGCGACCCGCGCTCCCACATTCCACCTTCGTTCCGCACACAGCCCGGGAGCTGAGCCCCGCGGAGAGGCGCAGCCAGTCTGACTCCGGAGCCTGGGCCCCAGCCCTGGGGTACCCACCGAGCATGGCTGAACACACCCAGAGGGAAGCCCGTGAACCAGAGGCGGCGGGGCTGCCCTCAGCACACAGGCCAGGTAACAGCTGACTGCTAGTCTGATGGCAGATGCAGGGACCTTTCCCTCTAACCAGGGCCCTCCTCTGACCCAGAAGGTATTTACAGCAGGAGGGCATCTGAGGGCCCCCTCTGGTCACGGACGCCCTCAGATGGGCTGCTGGCTGATCCAAGCCCAGCCCCGCCTGGTGGGGAAAACCCAGGCCCCTCAGGTCTTTCTCTCATCCTACGACCCCCTGTGCCTCGTTTCACTACCACTATCCCTGTTTGACAGGTGAGGATCTACCCCCGAGAAACGCTGTGAGGGTAAAACGAGTTAATATATGTAAAGATCTTAAAACAGGGAGAATTCATTTAAATTATTCTTTTACTCATTCAACAAACATTTACTGAACACCTAAAATAAACAGAAATGCGACACCCGAAAGATAGGTGTTATAAAGAAAAATAAAGCAAGGTGAGGGTAACAAACAGAGTCATGGGGGCGGGGCAGGACACTCCACGGTGGCATCTGACCAGAGACCTCGTGAAGTTACGGAGAGAACCGGAATGCCATCTGTGGGAAGAGGATTCTAAGCAAAGGGAACAGCGAGTGCAAAGGTCCTGAGGTAGAAAGTGTATCTGGCACGTTTTAAGGAACAGCACGGCGACTAGTGTGGCTCAAGTAAGGGAACTAATGGTACAAACTGATTCTGAGGAGAAGGCCAGATCACGTGGGACTTTGGGGAATATGGCAGATTTTGGAGTTTACTCCAAAGTGGGACTGAAAGGCCACTCAGAGTTCTAAGTAGAGAAATTATGTGATAAGGTTTACATTGAAAAGTGCTAATACAATGGGCTATTAAGTACATCTGCCGAAACCAGAAGTCTGCAAACTTCTCCTGTAAAGGGCCAAACAGTAAATATTTTAGATTTTGCAGGTCATAAGGTATCTGTCACAACAACTCAGTTCTGCCATAATAGGGAAAAAGCAACCATGGGTGTGGCTGTGTTTCAATAAAACTTTATTTACAAAACAGGAAGCCGGACAGTAGTTTGCAAACCAGGCTCCAGACCTAATTTCAGATTTACAGGAAATATAGGCACAGAAGAACAAAGTAAACTGTGCCAAAAGGCAGTAGCATGACACATCTACAGTGTGGAACGTTCTACAAGACAACCTGGCTTATCCAAAAAAATCAGCGTTATGGGGGACAGGGAGACAAAGGACTGACGAGATTAAAATGAGCCAAAGAGACAACACGTACCTTGAGTAAATGCTGGTGTGCAAAACAACACCTTGAGGACAACTGGGGAAATTCAAGTATGGCGTGGCTATGGGGAGAATGTTAGTAAATACACCTTATAAAGAATCACCTCAAGTGATACCACCACCACATTTCTGTAGGAGGAAGTCCTCATTCTTAGGAGATGCCTGCCGACGCATTATAGAGGTTAAGTGTCATGAATATGAGCAGAAGTTCAAGATCTAGCTTAAAATACAGCAGATGAGGACAATGCAGGAAATGCTGAACTGCCGAATGGAGGTGCAGGAACCTGGACGTTCACTACACTAAATGCACGTCGGAAACCGGCTGGCAGGGCGGAGGGTCAAGGGATCCTCCTGCTGTCCACGAGGGCCATTGGGTTAGGTAGGAGAGGCTACCGGAAGCCCAGTGAGTGGGCTGCTACAGCACCTAGGCAAGAACCGGTCACCAGTGTGGTCTATCCACCCTTGGCCCCCAACCTCCCACCCCAACCCCGCCTTCCCTGGGCTTGAGCCTCCAGTGGCCCAGGGCAGTGAGGGGCAGTGAAGACAGCCCAGAGCTGGGTCTCTGGCCCACGCCGCCCTGGGGTCGGTCTCAGAGCAGTCCCAGCAGACTTCTCTCCAGCAGCAGCAGCAGGCGCCCAGAAAAGGTGGAAGGTGGGGCTCTCCAGCCCCTCCAGTTTAGGAAAAGGACTCTTCCCCACACTATAGGGCACGGTATCTCACTAAAATGGAAACCAATGTGGGCCTCTGGCCTACTAAAACCCTCTGCCGGCTCCCACTGCTCCTCTTCCAGGCTTACACACTGTGTGCCAGGTACTGGTGAATCAAGGGCTTCCTGTTTGTCATCCCCCTGAATCTTTAGCAACCCTGTGACAAACCCGAACTGATTCACTGTCTGCCAAGCCCCGTGGGGATCTCCATCTGGAGTCCAGGCCCTGGCTGAGCTCGCCAGCATCAAGGTTCTCCACACGCAACCCCCTGCCCCGGTTCTAAAACCCCTGGCCATTGATTCCTTGATGACACAAAACCCTGTGTGGTCCCTGGAATAACGACTGTCTCATCCTCGGGCCTCTTATATGCTGTCCCCTTTTCCTGGAGTCACCTTCTCCTTCCTACTTCTGTGGCCAACTCCTACCTATACATCAGAACTCAACCCAATACCCGATCCTATGCACCTACTGGTCTAAATCCGCTCTGACTGGCGGTCTATGTTTTGGTCTCCAGTTTTCAACTGAGCACCAAACATTTCAGCTGGCCTAAGATAGCAATTCTGTTCCCCTCGGTGGGGTGAGCATATGTTGAACCCCGGGAAGGTATGCAACAATAATTACAGTATGGACTGTGCTAACACGTCCTATGACACTGTTTTGCATATGCTCTAGAAATGCACTGTCCAACACGGCAGCCACTAGCCATATGTAGCTGTTAAAATTTCATTAAATAAAATAAAAGGATTCCATACCTCAGCTGCACTAACAACACTGCAAACGCTCGGCAGGTGCATGTGACTAACGGCCACCCTCTCGGGTACTACGAGTATAGAACATTCCTGTCACGGCACCGTTTTAGGGTTCTCCAGGTGGTCAGCGGAATCCTTGCCCCACAGATAAGCTAAAGGAATGTTTCTCAAAGAGAGGCCCAAAGGGACAAAGTGGGGGGAAAATATTTGACACTCATCCAAAGGACTAAGCTCCCTAATCTATAGTTTTCAGAAATAAATAAGAAAAAGACTACCAAACAGAAAAAGAGACAAAGGATCTGAACAGATAGTTCAGAAGTAGAAACCAGTATGGCCTTTGAACATGCGAAAGGATCCTCGAACTCACTCGGAAATAAAAGGCCAATTAAAAGCCACTCTGAAGTGCCATTTCCCACTGATTAGATTGGTAAAAATCTACATGTTTGAAAACACAAAGCTGTGTGGACACTCAGACATGGCCTAGAAAACATTTCTCCACATTACAAATGCATATTCCCTGTAACCAACCCAGCAATCCTCCATCTACGAATTCATCTTACAGATTTACCAGCATCTATGTCAATGAGGCAAACACAGGTCCAGCACTGCGGCACTGTTCATAACGAGCCAAATGCTGGAAACGATCGCAGTCACCAGCCACAAAGAACCACTCTACAAACCTGGGAATATTCATGTGCGGCTGTTTTAAAAAAACCAGCAGCAGCACTCTACATATCAGAGCAGGAAGATTCCCCAAGATACATACAGTAAGAAAGCAAGTTCGAAATAGTTTGTGTGCAATGCTACATCTTTTGTGTAAAAAAACAAACAAACGAACAAAAAACTCACAAGGGGAGTAGGGCGCAGAAGTCTGGATTTGAACGAGCCTTTCCCTGCAGAAAGCAGCCCTTGCAGGGCACATGAGAGGAGTGGTCACCTCGGGGGTGGAAGGTGGGGCAAAGCCCGAGTGAAGCACTCACTGAACGCCTGCTTACACTGTTCAGGTTTTGAACTAGGAGAATCTGTATCAGCCCTTCTGATTATGACAGTGAATCCTAGGCCATCTGCCTCACAATCAACAGAGATGCTCATTACAAATACAGCTCTCGGACCCTCCACCGATCCATGAAGTTGCTCTGAGCTGCTACCAAGCTCCGCCTGAGGTTCCAAGGCACCCTCCAGTCCTCAAACCATAGTGGGGTCTGCACACTGAGAACCCCGGCTCCTCCCAGCTCCAGCTGGGGAGACCCCACACCAGAGGGCTGAGACAGGAAGCTGCGCATGTGCACCCCTTGCCCTCACTGGGCCTGGCCACCCTCACAGCGCAGCCACGCAGAGTGCAGACTCGCCTCTCATCTGGAGAGTCCACGTGGAAGGTCCTCTCGATGACTGTGGTCCACTGCAGGCAGCGTATGACAAAGGTGTTGGGCCGTGGTCTTTCCGTCTTCATCAGCTGACATTCTGCAAGCAAAAGGACAGAGGGAGGGTTGAGGGGACAGCCCTTCTACCTGCAGCTCACATTCCCCGAGCCACCTCCTATGTGCCAGCCCCACATCAGATGGTGTTGGGGACACGTGAGTGACTGAGATAGCCCTGGACTTGCCCCCGTAAGGCTAGAGATGCAGTGTGTGTGTGTGGATGGGGAACGGACCACTAGACAGCTTAGCATCAGGGCAGTGATGGGGGGAAGCCCAGGCGGACCTCTCAGAGAAAGAGGCATCTCTGCCCTGAGCCCTGACAGAAGAGAGAATGTGGCCAGCCAGGCAGAAAGGTGCATCTTGTCCAGAGCCTAGAAGTGCCAGAGACGCCCCACACACTCAGGAAATGTCAAGTTTTGCTCTAGGTGTGAGAAGAGACAGGCTGGAGAGGCAGGCAGGGACCGCCCTGCACGGCTCGGGAGCATGGGGAAGGATCTAGACTTTGTCTGAAAGCAAGAGGGAGCTACGGAAGGCTTAAATAGGGAAGGGACGTGAACAGATGCAGACAGTCCTCTGGCTGCCCTGCAGAGTGAGAGAGAAAAGAGGCTGGGAGCCCAGGGAGGAGCCCAGGGAGGAGCCCAGGGAGGAGCCCAGGGATCCACCAAGAGTAGAGCCGCGGGGAGGGTAGGCAAGGGCAGACAGACATGCCAGAGGGGAGGCAGAGAGAGGCACCTAGGATGAGGCTAAAGCCTGTGGACCAGGGGGCTATAAGACCCTCCCCCAGATGGAGACAGGGAGTAGGAGAAGGTTGGGGAGAGGAGGGGAGACTATAAGGCCAGTTTGGAACATGGTGGGTGCAAGGAACCTAGAGGACACCCAGAGAGCAACGTGCAGAGAGCTGCCCAGGGCAGGCTGGCCGTTCAGGTGAGAAGCCAGGGCTGGGAGCAGTCACGTCGGAGTCCCCAGCACAAGGGGAAAGCAACCAGAACCAGGCTTTAAGTGGGACAGAGAGGGGACTGGGGCTGGATTCCAGCGAGAACAGGTGGGAGCAGACTGGGCAAGACTCCGGAGCAGGGAGCTTGTGGGAGAGGACAGCGGTCGGCTGAGGAGTGGCAGCGGAGACGCGAGCGTCTCGGTCATGTTCTTAGGAGATGGGATACCGAGGATACGCTGATGTGGTGACCAACCAGGTCAGCAAGGAAGGAAGGAAGCAGGGGGTCAGAGGCAGGACTGTGGTTCCGCAAGGCCCAGGCAACGGCTTTGGGCCTGCCAAGCTTTCACTGGCCAGGGTCCAGCTGGAAGGCACTACTCGGATACCGGAGAGACGGAGGACATGAGGTCAGCCCTGCCGTCAGCTGGAGGGAGGCCACGGCTGCCTCCAGGTTAGAGAGAGGGAGAAACGGGCTGTTAGCAGAGCGCAGAGGCATCTGACACCAGCCAGAACCCCAGGGCCCGACCAGCAGCAGCAGCTAGAACCACAGAGGCAGTGCTGCCTGGGGACGGGAGGAGGGCTGGGGAACACCTGGCTTCTCCCTGCTTCCCACGATCCCTCATCCACCGGCACAGCCCCGGGGCCCACCTAACACACGGGTAGAGCAGCAGAAGGACGGGGAACAGGGCACACAGGCCCTGGTCAGGCCCACAACCCAAGAACAGCTGACCCCATGTGCCCCCAAGACTTGCCACCGTCCTCTGAACACCCGCCCACTTCAAGACGCACCTGCAACGGAGAAGTTGTTTAGCGGGGGCAGTGTCTGGTCGGGGGCTTCGGGTCGTTCCTTATAGCCAATGAAGGAGCAAAAAACCGCGGCCTCCAGGTCTTGATGTATTCACCTGAACCAAGAAGGGGGTGGAGACAAAGGGCAGGACAGGCAGCTCAGTGTGACAGTGCTGCACAGGGGGCACGGGGCAGGAGAAGGGTGGATGAGAGGATGGGCAGGAAGTGCCTCTCCCAGAGAAACCCTCAGGCGGCCCCTGCTGACGCAGGCGAGGCGCCCGGCTGGGCCCAGTGATTCAGAGGTCATGCCTGGCAGTCAGGTGCCTACTGAAGTGCCCCAGGGCACCAGTTGCCTCAGCGTGTGGCCAGCAGCAAGCCATCCTTGCCAGCACATGGCCCAGTCCCAGGAGAGGCCCAGGCTTTCAAACATACATGCCCTGTGGCCCTGTAAGGCCAAATCCCATGGGCTAGTATTCACCAGTGCAGCCGTGCAGGTAGATCAAATGTCAAAACACTGTGCCAGGCCGGGTATAACTGTTGCTCTGACCTTCAAGTGTCCCTTGACCCCTTCCATTTGTTCTAACCATGAATATCCAAGCACCCTGTGTACTTAACACACATGCACACACACACACACGCACGCACGCACACACACAGTTACAAGAACCCACTCCTCAGAGAGCTGCTAAGAATTAAAATGAGGTGGAGTGCAAAACAGGTGAAGGGAATTAAAGGTACAAACTTCTAGTGACAAAATAAGTAAGTCACAGGGATGTGAAGTACAGCACAGGGGATTATTAGTCAATGACATTGTAATAACTCTGTATGGTGACACATGTAACTAGACTTATCATGGGGAACATTTCATAATTATCAAATCGCTATGATGTACACCTGAAACTAACAGGATACTATACATCAATGACATGTCGATAAAATGAATAAATAAAATTTTTAGAAAATCGATAAAATAAAATGCTATTTAAGTTCTCAAAAAAAGAGATGGTGAAATAAAAACTTGTACGTAAATGTCCATGGCAGCATTAGTCATAAAAGTAAAAAGTGAAAACAGCCCAAAAGTCCATCAACTAATGAGTGGGTAAACAAACTGTGGTATATCCATACAACGGAATATTATTAGATCGTGAAAAGAAACAAAGCATGGATGCTATACATGGATGAACCATAATTCATGTAAGTTAAAACAGTTTGTCGCAAAGGACCACAAATTAGATGAGTCCATTTATATAAAATGTCCAGACTAGGCAAATCTGCAGACATGAACAGAAGATTAGCATTTGCCTGGGGGAGGGTGGGGAGGGAAAGAAGTGAGGGCAGGCAGCCAGGTGTGAGAGTGCCTCGCAAGGGGCACCGGGGTAGAAGGAGGGTGGAGGAGAGGGCGGGCAGGAGAGCAGTAGTGAAATGCGCTAAAACTGACTGTGGTGACAAGATGCACAACTTCGCTTCTCGGAGTCTTTGTTTCCTATTATAAAGATATCCATTAACTGCTTACGATGAAGATGATAATGACCATGACGATGATTAGATAACACAACAGTGGTACTTTGGGCCAGGCACTACGCTAAGTATCTGATAGGTTTTAACTTACTAAATTTTTTCCAAATGTAGATAGTAAATGATTCCATCTATATAAATTTCAAAACCTAGCAAAACCCCAAATTCAATAGCAGATTTAAAGAACCAAGTAGGTTTTATCCCAGGAATGAAAGGGTGGTTCAATATATGAAAATCAATTAATGTAATACAAAAGAGAATGAAAGAAAAAAAACACATGATCATTTCAATTGAGGCAGAAATAGCATTTGATAAAAATCCAACTCTCTTCCATGATAAAAAAACAAAAACAAAAACACAACTTAGCAAACTCGGAATAGAAGGGAATTTCCTCCCCACGAGAAAGGGCGTCTATGAAAAACCCAGCGCTAACATCGATATTCAATGAAAGACTGAAAGCTCTCCCCTAGGACTAGGAGCAAGACAATGACATCCACTTTCCCCACTGCTCTTAAACACCGTGCTGGATGTTCCAGTCAGAGGAAAAGAAGAGAGATGAAAGGCATCCAACGTGAAGGAATAAGTATAATTATCTTTCTTTGCAAATAACATGATCCTATAAATACAGAAAATCGCAAAGAATCCACAAAATAATTACTAGAATAAACAAATGCAGCAAAATAAAACACACAAAAATGAGCTATCTTTCTATATACCAGCAGTGAACAATCCAAAAAAGAAATTAACAATTCCATTTATAATAATATGAGGTGAAAACTTCATACATTAAAAACTACAAAATATTGCTGAAAGAAATTAAAGACCTAAATAATGCAAAGACATCCTGTGTTCATGGACTGGAAGACTTAATATACTTAAGATGACAACACTACCCAAAAGTGATCTACAGAGTTGACACATGCCCTATCAAAATTCCAACAGCCTTTTTTGAGGAAATGGAAAAGCCAATCCTCAAATTTACATAGAATTCAAATTCACATGGCAAGGAGTTCCAAACAGACAAAACAATATTGAAAAAGAAGAAAGTAAAAGGACTCACACTTCCCAATTTTAAAACTCACTACAAAGCCACAGTAATCAAATCAATGTGGTATAAGGAGAGACATACAGACCAATGGAATAGAATTTAAAGTTAAAGAAAACACACACACATCTATAATCAATTGATTTCCAACAAGAGCATCAAGACCATTCAATGGGAAAAGATTGGTCTTTTCAACAAATGGTGCTGGGACAACTGGATATCCGCATGCAAGCAAAAGAACAGAGTTGGACCCCTACCCCATACCATACACTACCTACAAAAATGAACTCAAAATGGATCGCCTTAAATGTAAGAGCTAAAACTATAAAACTCTTGGAAGAATACAAAGGGGTAAGTCTTCCTAATCTTGGATTTGGCAATTGATTCTTAGATATAACACCAAAAGTACAAGTAACAAAAGAAAAAAAATAAAGTGGACTCATTAAATTAAAAACTTTTGTGCAAAGGACATCAAGAAAATAAAAAGACAAATCAAACGAATGAACATAAATGTTTGCAAATCATGTATCTGATAAGGACCTAAACACAGAATAAAGAACTGTTACAACCCAACAATAAAAAGACAACAGCCGGATTATAAAATGGGAAAAGAACTTGAATAGACATTTCTCCAAAGACACTACAAATGGTCAACAAGCACGTGAAAAGATACTCAACATCATCGGTCATAAGGGAAATGCGAATCAAAACCACTTCGCAGTCACTAGGATGGCTTTTATCAAAAAAAAAAAAAAAAAGATAAGAAGAAAACAAACAGAAAAAGAAGAAATATTGATGAGGATGTCGAGAACCTGAAACCCCTGTGCACTGCTGATGGGAATGTAAAAATGGTGCAGCCCTGTGGAAAAGTCTCGCTCCTCCGCCAAGTTAAATATAGAATATACACTGTAGATTATAAATACAGAACATATGACCCAAATTATTTACATACACGTATATTTACATGCATTACCTATAGGGAATACATTACATCATAAACACAGAATATATGACTCAGCAATTCCATTCCTAGGTGTATACCCAAAAAAACTGAAAACAAATACTCAAATACTTGTACACAATCGTTCATAGCTGCACTATTCACAAAAGCCAAAAGTTAGAAATAATTCAAATGTCCATTAATGAATATGTGGATAAACAAACTGTGGTATGTTCATGCAATGGAATATTATTCGGCCATAAAAAGTAATGAAGTACTGATTCGTGCTACAACACAGACGAACCTCAAAAACATTACGCTAAGTGAAAGAACTCAGTCACAAAAGGCCACATATTATATGATTCATTTACATGAAATGTCCAAAATAAGTTAATCCATACAGTCAAAACAAACTGGTGGCTGCCAGGGCTAGAAGGGGGAGATGGGGGCTGACCATTTAATGAGGATAGGGGATTCCTTTAGGGTGAGGAAAATGTTTTGGAACTAGAAAGTGCTCACACAACACTGTGAATGTACTAAAGACCACTGAATTACACAGTTTAAAACGGTTAATTTTAAGTAAATTTCACCTCAATTTCAAAAAAAAAACAAAACAAAGCAAGAAAACCTCACCTATACTAGCAGTGAGGAGCGTGTTACTGCCTGGGGGGGTGTGGCGGGGCTTCTAGGGACTCCCTCATTCTGTTTCTTGATCTGGACACTGGTTTGGGGTTGAGCTTACGAGCTGGGCCCTTACCTGTGCTGTTTTATGCATCAGTAACAAGCTAATAAAAAGGAAAGGAAGGAAAGGACAGACATCCCCACAATAATCCCATTTTACAGATGAGCAAACTGAGGCATAGCAAGCTTCCATTACTTGCTTAAGGCTCACAACCGATGACTCGGTGAGCCAGGATGGAACCCAGGCTTGCTCCGTCTACGCTCCTGACCACTACGATGTCTGCCTCTAGACTGGCAGGCAGGGCCAGGCCTGGCAGGGCCTGGCAGGGTGTGCTGTGGCTTTGTCAGAACGGGGCCCAGCACAAGGCATGAGCCAAACAACAGTGTTCTCACTCTGCCAGTTCCTTGAACTGACCCAGCTGGACGAGGCGGCACGCGGGCCAGGCCTCGAGAGCATGGGTTGAGGAGCTGGGAGACGAGTCCAAACCTCGGTGCGGTTGACAGGCTGCAGCGCCCTGGTCTGTAGGATGCCCGCCTCACAGGCCAGCTGTGAAGTACACCAAAATCAGGCTCGCCGCAGCACAGCTGTGCCTGGCGCAGAGCGGGCACACAGTAAACTAGGGCCAGGCTGGGTGGGGTGGGATGGCACAGGTACCAAAATTGCTGCAGTGAGCAGGGCCCACCTGGCCAGCTGCTGCTCAGAGTGGCCGGCACTGGGAGGCCCAGGAGCAACACGCAAACGTGTGTGCAGGGCGGACCCAAGGCAGGCGCATCCCAGCTAGTCTTCTCGGAGCGCACACGGCCCCCCGACGGCACAAGCAGAGACACTGGAAGCCCGAGAGGGGCTGAGATGCATGGAATACCATCGACGGCCCCGGACCAGAGACGTAGCTGCACCCCCACCACCGTCCGGCCACCTCCGGATTGCTAGGCCTCTGCCCAGGGAGCGATGGGCCTCAGGAAACTCAGGAGCTGAGACACCGGCTCGCCAGTCCACACTCACACCACCCACACATACGATCCCAACCGCTCATTCCACAATCGGGTACCGAGCGCCCACCATGTATCAAGCACTCTTCTAAGCATTGGGGACACTGCAGGGAGCAGGCCAGATCGAATCCCTGCCCTCAGGGAGCTGACAACCGCAGAGGCTTGGGCTGTTAACCCATGTTACAGATGTGAAACCAAGGCTCAGAGAGGTAAGGGTGTGCTCAGTCACAAGAGGAAGTGGCAGAGGTGAGAACTTTGCCATCTGCCAAGGTTCAGAACACTCTGTCGACAGCCCCAAACTCAGGGCGCAGCCTGGGGGGCAGGCTGAGCTGCCCTGAATGTCATCCCTGCCTTTAAGGGCACTGAGAACAGGTCTCCCGACTCAGTCTGACAGAGGAGGCCTGGCCCCGAGAAGTCGCCTCTGTCCCTCATCACTGCTCTGTCTGCAAGTAGTTCCCACAGGGCTGGCCCCATCGGCCTCCTTGCCCTCCTCGGACATGCCCGTCCACTCCCCTCGCCACATTCACGGCTCCTGCCCATCGGTCATGGGAATCGCTACCTTGCCTCCCGCAGATCGTTACTCCAACAGCCCCTTGCCGGTGAGACCCTCCCTGGCCGCCCTGTTTATGAAAGGCCCCTGCCCACCTCACGGCCCCTCCTCAAGTTGTTTGGTTTTCATCCATGGCACTTAGCGCCACTGGACACATGGGCCTACTCAGCTGCCACCCGCCCCCTCACTAAATGTAAGACATCAACACGAGGACAGGGATTTTGCCTGAGTGCTGGATCTGCCCCAGCGCCTGGATCAGCGCCTAGAGCACAGGAGCTGCTCAGTAAATGCTGCTGACTAAATGGAAGCGCACGGAGCGCAGGCCCGGCACCCTCCCTCCATCGGGGAAGGTGCGGGGAAGGTGCGCACAAGCCAGGACAGCATCTCCTTCCTCCTCACGCTTCTCCCCAGCTGCCCCTGGACACGGCGGAGCTAGGAAGTGCCACGGTCCTGGGGAAGGCAGCCTGGAGTCTAGGGGTCTAGTCTCGTAGTCTCTGCCCTGTAAATAACGCCATTTCTCTGGCTCGGCTGCCCACCAGCACGACCAGACCAGGTCGCACCCCGGCTCACACTCTCCTGGGCTTCCGGTCACCTGGCGAGTGGAAGGCCAGGCCCCAGTCTGTGGTTTGATGCGGCATCACTGCTCTGCCGCGTCTCCTCCCTGCTCGCCCTCGCTCTGCTCCAGCCACGCTGCCCCCTTCGCCTTGCTGTCGCCCTTACCCACCTATGTCTTGCTTCCTCCAGGGCTCTGTTCACTGGCACTTCCTCAGAGTGGCTTCCCCTGACACCCCCTCTCCAGCCACCCCCGAGTTCCTACTTTTCACAACAGCACTTATCTACTTATTTGTTTACTGTTTGTCCCCACCTTCCAATGGAACGTAAAATCCATAAGGGCACCTCATTGTCCCGAGTCCACAATAGCCTGACACACCACACACACTCATTGAGTATTCGCTGAATAAATGAATGTTGACTATCACCTCAGTGTGCTACTTCAGTTAAATGACCTTCCCTCTCTGAGCCTCAATTTCTTCATCTATAAACTGTGGCCCAATGAGATCACGCATGCAGACGCAGAACTCGAGGCCTGGCTTGTGGGCTCACGCAGGGTGTCCAGGCAGGCCTGGGGACTCAGCCACGGGCGGAGCCGCAGCTCCCCCGCCCAGATTACTGCTGACAGGTTCCATGAAGCGGGCCTGTAAGTAACTATGGCCTGGGCCAGGCAGGCGAGGCTCAGATGCTGGCCCCTGGGGCTGTGAAGATCTTGCACCTCTGCCTCTCAGGACAGCAGCTGTCGAGTGTGTGTGTGTGTGTGTGTGTGTGTGCGCGCGCGCGCGCACACGTGCGCACACGGGAGAGATGCACAATCCTGCAGGCAAAAGCAACCCCTTACCACGCTTGTGAAGCCAGCCTTCTTTGATGACAGACACCTCGTTCATGGTGGCAGCGTGACACGCTGTCACCTAGCTCGGGACAACTCAGGGCAGCAGGACATGCAGGAGGCACGGTGGACAGAGCACAGTCTGCAAGACAAGAGAGGAGCCCGTGAGAGTGGGAGGGGGACTCAGCCCCAGTCCCTTCCCGCAGGATGCCAGGCTCTGAGACCCCTCTGGCCGCTCTGCTTGCCCTGTACAGGGTGAAGCCCATGAAGGTGGGAGAGCCCTGCCCCCGGGGCCCACTGTGAGGGGGGATGTGGCCGTTTCCCCAGGGACTCCAACCTGCTGGGAAGGGACACGACCCTGCCCTCAGAGCCTGACTCAGGAGGGAGCAGAGCTCCCTGGCCTATGAGCAGGCCAGGCCGTGCTCAGGACAACCTCACAGAGCAGAGGCGGCCCTCCACGCACTCACTTCAGGCTGGGAAGTGGCAAGGGAGCTGTGGCCCCACCTTCATGTGGCCGTCACTCCCATGCCCCAACGCTGAGGTAACCTGGGATGAATCACGCAGCCCTGGGCACCTGAGGGAGTGCTCAAAGCCACCAGCATCTGCCTGCCACCCCCCAACACACACACACACACACACAC